GATGATGGTGGAAAACACCGAAACGTATTTTAATTGATAAATAGACAATAAATGACTGAAGCCCAGGAATTGATTTTGATTTGGAATGAAACACAGTCAGGAAAGTAAGTACAATGTTAGTCGTAAAGAAATTGAAATACATTTTTCACCCAGATAAAATATTTGTAATCGAAACTCACCATCATTTTGTGCACACGGTGCTTATTTGTGTGCAAATATGTCGCCCACATGTAAAGTGTGTGACAAGTAAAAAAATGTTCTCAAGGAAAAAGTGTTTGTCCAAACGTTGAGTTGGTCCTTATAAGTTCGATTAAATTATTTCATGTCCGGATTGTCTTCACAGTTTAAAGATACCAATATTTTCAGCTCATATGATTGCACAAATACAATATATGCTAACAAAATACCCGAAATTGAAATGATGCAAGTATTGCAGTATTTGTTTCTTCGTCAAATAGACGAACTAAATGTAAGGCAAGGTAGACCTTATTTTTGCCATTTAAAAATGGCTCCCAACAGGCACTGTTTTACATTACAGACATTCAATTTTGTAAATGTTTTAATGTTTTTAATTTCTGGGAATCGACTTGCACTAAATTATTCTTATTCTTTCTCAATTTTCTCAATAATTTCCAAATTTGAGGATCAGAACCAATCAGCAAAATGTACCGAATCAACATTTCAGCATTCATCTGGTGCTAGACACTTTATTTTGCTGAAAATGATTATTCCCGTTTTATAAAAAGTATACGGTTCGTTGTATAAAAAAATTCTACTAGATTGCTAGGCAGTTCATAAGATGAAAGTAATTTTATTAGAGCGTGTGTTAATAAAACGGTTTAAACTGCTAATCACAAATTTTGTAGTCTTCAAAGTCGCAATTGCTATTTCCAGAACAAGAAATTAAAAGAGATATAGAGAACGGAGTACTCAATACATGTAATCTGACGAAAAACTAAATTTTTCCGCATCTCCGGTCTTTGCAGTGAAAGCAGTTTATAGGAATAATGACGGGTACTTGCATTTTGAATAGCCCATTTAAGAAAAACGACGCTGCTAAGATGCTCATCTGTAAGGCGAGAAGACATTAGTTGAACTTGTGTCGTTTTAGCAACCATTGACCATAATAAAACGCGTCAGTAGCTTTTTCAGAGCTGTATTTTCAAATCGAATTTTGATAACAAATATATATGTCACTTCAAAAATGCACCTTTAAAATCGTTAAGCATAATTTTGAACCTGACAGAAAAATCATAATCATAACATATAATTCATAAGCAAATACCTACAAATTAATTCATTTGCCTTACACCCTAAGTGAGATTCTGACTTTTTAATTCGATCCAAAGGCATTTGCTCCAATTGTCCATTACAACCTAAATTACAAAAACCATTCTACTTTTAGTGGAGCTGCAAGAGCTTCATTTGCAATGGGTGGTTTCACAAATAAACCTTTGAGGCCTGGTTTGGCCTTGAGACTCAATTTAAATATTTAATAAATCTACCATTTTAGCTAAAGAATTGAAATGCACAAAAGACCAGGCAACGTAGATAAATGCTCATATGGAACCTTCTTGTTGAATTTATGGATGCGTGAACAAAATATTTGCTATTTAGTTCACACGCTTTAAAATGTAAAACTACTACTGACGTTTGATATAAAATAAGAAGGTGTGTTTGCAATAGTAGATAGACCAAAGTTTAGGGCCTACTCATTATCTAAAACTGTTAAAACGAAAGCTGATACCTCACCACTAAAACAACTTAAATAATATGACATGACATGATCATATAGATTTATCAACACACGTTGCATTAGTTGGACGAGAAAGCATTCAATACATTAAGATTCACTTGATATGAAATTTGGAATGTGTCTCCAAATTGATACATGGAAGGTACCAAGTTTGAATGAATTCATGTAAACTCGCAAGAGGTTGTATGTTTAAACAGTTCATTTACAATCAACACTAACCTTCATCTTGATTGCTGCCTAAAAGAATCTCCATATCTTCATAGTCTCCCTCCGCCAACATGTCCTTAGGATGTTTGCTGAGAAACACGCCTTCTATTGTGGGCATGGACGGAAAACCCAGTATTCCCGAATAGGAATTCCACTGCTGCAAAGATATTGTTTTTGCGTCGACAGCTCGCATACAGTCCAATACTTGATAAGGGTTAGTTTCCAGGTTTGTGATGTTGCAGCCGCAATCGTGGACTAGACCCTTTCCAATTACTTCAGCTTGATCTGCTGACATGTAGCTCCAAGGAGTGTTCATTGTTCCAGATTGCAGAATACCTCTCTTAGCAAGACCTTTCGTGATTGGACTTAAAAGCAGAATGCTTACAGATCCACCCCCAGCTGATTCTCCGAAAAGGGTTATAAGCTCTGGGTCGCCTCCAAAGGCAGCGGCGTTTTCTTTAATCCAGCGTAAAGCCAATGCTTGGTCCCACAAGCCCATATTTCCAGGAGTCTCATCACTGCCTTTAGGGAAATATTTATTTAAATAAAGAAAGCCAAATGATCCCACGCGATATTGCATCGAAGCGACAATCACGTCGCTCGTAGCAGCAATTATATCAGCATCATAAATATCCAAAGTGGACGTTCCGCTCATGTAACCGCCTCCATAGATCCATACCAGTACTGGGACCTTGGGCCTTTCCATTGGAGGTTTATTATCATGGTGTCGAATGCGCAAACGCTGAGGAACCCAAATGTTTAGGTATAAACAATCTTCTGATATATTGGTATTAGGGTTCCACATTTCCTCACCCTCGAATCCTGGAAAGTATTCGTAGCGTTCTTGGAAGCAGGAATTAGGCAATTTGTTGGCTTCTAGAACTCCATGCCAGGGATCAATGGGCACTGGTCGCCTAAATCGTAACTGTTCAACTGGAGGTTTGGCAAATGGAATCCCAGTGAACACATGAACTTCTCGTCCGAGTACCGTTTTGGAATGTCCCCGAATAAAACCACTAGTTGTTTCAACAACCAGTGGATCATTTCGATAGTCCTTGTTAGCGCGAGTTGTAGTCTCCTCGTTAGGCCACGAGTAACCGTACACCGTTCGTAGCGCTCCGGATACAACAAATATCAAAGCAAAGAGAACTTCCATTTCGCTTTGAACCGGTTCACGTACGCATATCGAACGAACACGTGGATAAACAAATATCTGTTGCTCTATAAGGGCAGAACAGGAAACTAAAAAACAGCAAGCGCGTCGGCGTCGATTCAACCTGCGGGCGCCCGAACGAAGATGTTATTTTGGTGACAAGCTGATTCTGACTGAGAGCCGCGATTCTCGGACTACATTTCGATCAGAGGCTTGCGCGGCTATAGCCAAGACGCTCTATATTATTTACTATCATCACACGGTTACCCTTGTTATTACAAAACTTTCCATTTCATGGGCAGAATAAATTCGATTTCCATTGTGCCTGGAACAATTAGGTTTTCCGCAGCTTAGAGGCTAACACGTGCATGCACTATTTTGTTCCACTGTTAGTTTTACATACACCGTATGACAGCACTTGTGAACTGATCCATTTTAGCCACTCTTTCGTATTATGAAGCACATGGAGTTGAATACAAATAATATATATATTTGCAATATGAAAAATCAATATATCACTACAAGTCCTTTTGGAACGCCCAATGGCTCAAACGGCTCAATCACATTCTTTTATTTTATGTTTCTTTTCTTGACGTTATTGTAATTATTACGAAATCAAATTTAAAAAATTTACAGATCAAGTTGAAAAAATCTAATTCATCATTCAGTTTATGTATGAATAGTTTTGATACTACAGATCGTCGTTTTTCTTTTAGGTGTATGAATGGGGTTGATCTTGAAATTAAAAGTAATTATTTGAAATAGATATACACTCTACTTCAAATTAGACCTATTGCCGTAAGATAGAATAAATAACGTAACAAAAATATACGTTATATTTTGTCAATAGTTGGAATGCAGTAAGATGGTGCAAATAACGACTGCTGAAGATAATCAACTTAATTGTTACTATAAGAGTTATTTTTAATTTATCCTCCAGGAAAAAACTTTTGGACGCAGGATTCATAAATAGTAATTGTACATTCGTTTAAGCTTTCCAATTTAAATTAGGATAGTGGTAAAAATATATTTTTGTTAATAGGTTTCAAAATCTGAAAGAATGGATTCCCTAATTATTTAGGTTTTTACTATTTTACTTCAAGAAAAGTTGTAAACAGAGAACATTGAGATAAAGAAAAAGAATAAAATGTTTAACAACAGAAAACAATACCTTATTTACTGTAAGGTCAAATTTCCCGTTTTTCTGATAGGGAAATTGAGGAGCTTTAGAAAGGACACTATAGTTGCTGAATTATTTTGGTAATAAATCGATAGTGCCCATCACTGCCAATAACAGTGCTGAAAAAAAGGTTAAGTTGTAGCGCTGTTGATTCGGCTGTTAATATCTGAATTGAATCAAAAAAAGTTTTTACTTCTTTTCCTCATGGGCTCAAAGTGATTAGTGACTTGGGTAGAAGACATGAAGATGAAAATTATAAAATCCGTCTAAAATTTAACTTACAAAATAATTATAAAATATTTAATTTTCGAATGTTTTTTCCGCATTCGCATCGCACATCAACTAAGTGTCTGATGCTTAATAAACTTAAAATTTTGAATAATTAATTTGCAGTCCTTAAAGCGGAAATAAGGAAATATATATAAATTATAATTCAAAACAAACGCTTTTGTGACATTTTAAATGGTAAACAATAAAATTGACTGGAACCCAGGAATTTCTTTTGACTTAAGTTGAAATACAGTCAGGAAAGTATGCACAATAAATTATAATGACTTATATTTTATTTCTATAGCGAAGAATTCTCTTAATGTGAATTATCAATAATGTGCCAACCGAATCATAGTGAGAGAGTGGTTCTACCTAAATCGGACCATCAAAAATGGGTTATGAAGTAAATTGACTTGCAGCGATATAAACTTAGATTAAAACGGCGATTTCAATTCAAGGATATTTAATTTGTTATTATGCTACATTGGCTCAATTTTTAAGTCTGTTTTTGAGATTACCTAATACCAGCGAGTAATAATGAACTCCAAATAAGTTACAGATAAAAAAACTGGACTATGGAAGCGGAAACAAGCGGGGCAACTATTTAAAGCAATATTCAACCTTTTTTATTGTTAGTTGTAGATTTTTAGATTTTAGCTTAGAGGCGCATTTTGAATTTTGTTTTGCTTCTCGGCAATTGCGTTTGTGTTCTTGATATTGCTTCAATAGTTGTTGTATTGCGAATGTCTACCTCTTTTTACTAATGCATTTTAGTCGCCAGTTTGTGAGATGCTGTGTGGCAATTTGATTAAAAGTGACCCAAAAAACACTTTTTTACATTCACTTCAAATTTTGACATCAATGTTTAGAATATCAGACTATGAAGGCTTTCACGGCCGGTTAAATCACATTTAGGAATATTTTCAGGTCTTTGAAGCCGTGGTCTATGGGAATTTCTTCCACAACTG